AAAGACAAATATCAATATACAAGCGAAACCCAAAGAGATGAACAATGCTCAATACAGCAGACAGTATCCAGATAGCAATGGTGAGGGTCAGTGCTACCCAGGGTCTCATGAACCGCTTGTGAAGATGTGGTTTGACAATAAAGAGAAACCGATCAAATGATATAGCAGCTAGTGTCAATGATATGACTAGTACCATCCACCAAAAAATAAAAGCACCAAAGTAACATGTCCCTCTCTTTTCCTCATCTGTACTACCAAAGATCCACTCACCAGCAGCTAATCCAATGATGAAAAGAGGTAGGTAGAGTAGATTCAATACAAGATGTGCCAGTATGAGAGAAGTGAAGAATATTGTTGATGATTGTTTCAAGGACTTCCTTTGATAGAGTGTGATAGATAGTACCACACCATTAGCTATCAGAGCTAGTATCATCTCAACAGTAAAAACTGCTGCTACTGCTGGACCACTGAACTCCTCACTAAACGTAGAGTTGCTTTCCATGCTAAAATTCATGTTGTTTCAGAAGCTACAAAAGCTTGCCTTTGCCTCGCTTAAGCTACATGTAAGTGACTTTATTCATAAAGCACTACAATAGCATTATTGATTGATGCAAATGAAAATTACTAAGCCTACATGAATATAACAAAGACACTTTACAATAACACTTATTTTTATAAAAGCATTGATTACAAAATTTTCAAATTCATGAATATATATGTATGATTATAATGTGCTAGGAACAACATTAAGAGGTGAGATCAATTGATTAGCAAGTCCAAATAAATGGATAATCATAAAATACAAGTATAAGTACAAGTACATATCACAGTTTCATTACTGGATGTGATATAATGGCATGACGCACTTAACAAAATCATGATAAAAATTAAAGTAAGATCTAAAGAGTAAGTTGGAGCTATTCCTGGCACTATCCTGTCCCTCCACATAAAGGAATGAGAAATCCATGAGCAGCATGGTGCCAGGGTCAAAATTACCCCATCTAAGTAGTCCTGCTCTTTCTACTACCGTATAGCGGGTATATTCCGTCAGGGTTTAATTTCGTTCTTTTCGTTCTCATTCCTTGTGGAACAAATATTTTCCAAACAAAAAAGGTGTTTCCTCAATGCCACATGTACAAAATGGCTGCTTAGAAGGAAAATAAAACGAACGAAAATTTCTAATCCTGCTTAGAACAAACATTTTTCCAGATAAAATATACCCACTATACGGTATAAGCTTCTAACTGTAGCAAGTACAAAACTGAGGCCAAGTCAGATCAATTCAGCATAATATTTTTAATTTACAATTCACAAAACAGCTTGATCCCTATACAGCAAAGGTGAAAAAGCGAGTAAATCATTAGCCTTCCTTAAGGGTTAGAATAGCAGCAATTACCAGTCACTTTACATACAATTTTTATTCAAACTTCAACTGAACTTTGCCTGTAATTAATAATAGACTTAGTAGAACACAATGATGGTTAAAACAAGTGCATAAAAGCAACAAGTGGCTTAATGAATATTTAGTTTCATCAATGTGCAGGAACCTGTCATAGCAGCCCAGAGTTAGTCCATTATAAAAATGGTGCATTTCTTTTAAAATGAGCAAAAAATCCATCAGCAGCATAAGCAAAAGTGAAGAGGACAACATGAGACATAGACACTCCTAATCTCAAGCCTAAAGTATGACTCGATAACTGGACATGTGATTTCACCAGCAATGTTACAATACATGTAACAATTTTATGCCAATAAAAAATCATTGATACAACACTACTAATGCCTATGTATAGTACTTTGCTAAAATAATCAAAAAGGTATACATAAAAAATGGCAAATTAAAAAAATGAGCATGCTTTAGCAGCATACACAAATATGAAGTGGACAACATGTGAAAAGAACACTTTTAATCTCAGGCCTGAAGTATGACTGCATAACAGGATTAGCTACTGCAATGAAGTAGAAGCAAAAAAAAGCAGCTAAGATTAGCCACAATGGTACATCAATAAACAGATGAAGCAGGAAGTAGAGGACACCAAGTATAAAGCATATCCCATAGATGAGTACCATGGTTCCAAATATTCCAAAGATTTTCTTCTTTTTTTGAGGCATACACACTCTCTCCTGCTATCACTGACTGATCTTTGAAGAACCTTCTAGTGAAACAAAAGGCCCAAAGAGAAGTGACGAATATTATCCCAAGTATAATAACTAAAAAAAGAATGAATCTATTTCCAGCAGATAATGAAGGACAGATAGATACAAATCAGAAAATATCAATGATATGACTAGTACCATCCACCAATAAATAAAATCTTTGAAGTAACATGTCTCCCATTTCTCCTGATCTGTACTACCAAAGATCCACTCACCAGCAGCTAATGCAATGATCATAAAAGGAAGGTATAATAGATTCAATACAAGATGTGCCAGTATATTGTTGATTCAAGGATTTTATTTGATAGAGTGTGATGGATAGTACCACACCATAAGCTATCAGAGCTAGAGTCATCTCAACAGTAAGAACTGCTGCTACTGCTGGACCACTGAACTGATCAGTAAAGGTATCATCGGTAAAAGTAAAAAGTAAAACGAAATAGCTTGTCCTTGCAATTTGGATGATTGCAATACGCTTAATTTTTCTAAAAACATTAAAAATAAAACATTCAATTTCAGGTACATGCAACTGTAATAACAATGAAGGCACTAGGCAAAACATTCAAGGATACATCAATTATACTTTAAGGTGACTGCAAATGAGTGGACCATTATCAAATACAAATACAAGTAAATGACTATTATACATGTAAGTACTGGTATATCAATTAGTAATGAAAAAATTAACAATGACATGGGCGCATATGACTATAGTGCATGCATGCATTATTATTTAAATTTTTTCTTAAAAATTAATGCACAAATTATTAAGCAACTCATTAGTTCAAAAGTAAGAAAAAATACTACAATCATTATTTTAAAATAACCAATAACTTTAGCAGCATCCACAAATGCGAAGAAGTCGATGAAAAATAAGAATAAGAACACTCCTAATCTCAGGCCTGAAATATGACTGGATAACAGGACTAGCTACTGTATTGAAGAGGAAACAAATGAAAGCAGATACACTAAACCACAATGGTATATAAATAAAAAGATAAAGTAAAAAAAAGAGGATGCTAGGTACAAAACTTATCCCATAGACAAGCAACATGCTTCCAAATATTCCAAAGAGTCTCTTCTTTTTTGAGGTATATGCACTCTCTCCTGCTATCACTGACTGATTTTTGAAGAACCTTCTAGTGAAACAAAAGGTCCAAAGAGAAGTGACCAATAGTATCCCATTTAAAGCAACTGATAAAAGAATAATATAGACAACAAAGCCAATGTCAGCTGACAACAATAAGCAAATAGTTATATAAAAATGAAAACCAAAAATATGAACAATGCTGAACACAGCAGACAATATCCAGATAGCAATGGTGAGGGTCAGTGCTACCCAGGGTCTCATGAACCGCTTGTGAAGATGTGGTTTCACAATAAAGAGAAACCGATCAAATGATATAGCATCTAGTGTCATAAGTATGTTTATTGCAATCCATGCATAAATAAACTCAATGAATGCACATGTCCATCCCTTCTCCTCATAAGCACTATCAAAGATCCACTCACCAGTAGCTAATCCAATGATAATGAAAGGAACAAAGAGTAGATTTAATACAAGATGTGCCAGTATGAGAGAAGTGAAGAATATTGTTGATGGCTGTTTCAAAGACTTCCTTTGATAGAGTGTGATAGATAGTACTACACCATTAGCTATCAGAGCTAGTATCATCTCAACAGTAAGAACTGCTGCTACTGCTGGACCACTGAACTCCTCAGTAGAAGTAGAATTGTCTTCCATTCTAAATATTTAAAGACTTAAAGCACATACACTGTTTTCAAACTTCAAAAACAGCTAAGGCAATATATACAAACATAAAAATAATAATGAAACTGATATAGGGAAATCGAGCCTATAACAGAAATAGCAGCAAAATCAAAGCAGAGTAATCAAAACTACAGTATGTAAGCATAAACAGCACAAACAAGCCAACAACATCAGACAGAACTTTCTAGCAAAGCATTACATGTAGGTTTAAAGAGAAGTATCCCAATTAAAGTAATTAATAAATGAGCAAAATATACAACAAGGCAAATCCAAAATTTCAATACATGTGCAAGTACCTGTAAATGTATGTGTTGATAAAGTTAAGTAGAGCCATAAACTAATTACTTTCTAATTTAAAATCAAATCTTTCAAGCTGAATAAAGATGCAAAAAGCTCTTCCTGTTAAAAATACAGAGTTACATAACTTTAATTTTCTGCTGCTGACAATCATAGTAACTCAATAGTTAGACAGTATGATATACTCTGGCAATAGTATGCACCAGATCAATTAATACTAACTAAAATGAGTCAATAACAAGTTTCATGATAAGAACATTTTATAATAACACATATTTTTATAAAAGTGTTCACTGAAAACATTCAGATTCAGGTATAAGTAATAACAACAACACACAGGCACAACATTTAGGGATGGGGTCAATGGGACTGCGCAACATTATCATATACAAACACAAGCAGTTCAATTACTGCTATAGTCGGTTCGAGTTGAGTTGGCACATGAAATGAGCTAGTGATAAACATCATATGACATCATAGAGGTCACATGCATGCGCATGCGTGTAACGAACGTGGGCGGACATGATAACGCCATTCACGTGTAAAAAATAAACATTCTACGTGAATCTTGTCTTTGCCGACGTTTGTCTTTATTATCATCACTTTTTCTAGGACTTCATTCATCTTTTTGGACTCTACTTTTAACAAAAAAGCTACTACTAAACTGCTACTCCTTTCTGTTGGACTTCTTGAAAGTTGTACCTTGTGAAGCTCCTCAGGTAAGTGCTTGCAGCAAAAATCAATTATAAATCTTATTTTTGTTATAATTTATTAGCTGGAAAAAAACTCACAATACAGAATTTACCCTACAGGCATTACAGCGTCTCGTGAATCAGGGGTTTGCTCAAGTAACTCCTGAAAGGTGGGCCAGTCTAATTAAACATACTCAGGAGAAAGTAGAAGATGTATACTTTACAGCTGATAGATTAGAGAACTGGAAACGAGTTGAAGAATTTGTCATACATGTTGGAGCAGATGATGACGAAAGTGATTCAGATGAAGAGTACAGTGACATCAGTGATTATGATTCTGATGATTCTGACGATGAAATATGAGGTGAAAGTAGGCTTATGTTTAGCTCAAAGCAGTAGAGGACTTGTGAGTAAATACCTACTTATATGGAGCAAGAATGGCACTGTATAGTGGGGAAACAGTCCACTGCTAATGCTGGTAGTCTGCAATAGACTACTGTGCATTACTGCAGTAGAGGACTTGTAAATTAATACTCACTATATTTTGTGATTTTTGCTTGAATCTTCTTCAGCAGTCCCATGGGTGGTTGGTGTGGGGGGCCAAAGATGCAGTGTCACCTATTCGCGATGGTACTGGCTATCACCCTTTTCTGGGTGCAAGAACACTGCAAATAATTTATTTTTAATGCTTTTAATGAAATATATCAAATAATTAAATTTTATCACGCTTTATTCGCAATAATTAAATCCAACCACGTGTTAATAATATGCAAATCATATTCATATATAACGTAATTTGTGACGTCATAGAGACGTATATGGTGGCGCTCTTTCATCTTCTTCCGGAATCCCAATGAGAACCTTCCAGAGAACCTAGATACACAAAAATTGGTATAGATTTTCGGAAAAACCCGTTATGCAGCTATACCAAAACTGGAATTGCTGGCTGCAAGAACAGTAGAGTTATAAGGGGTGGTAGTTGGGCAACTCAACTTGAACTGACTATACATATCAATCACTGTAATAATATACATGTATACATGAATTTGGTTGTGCTTATACTCTTCCATAATAATAATGCTAAATGCAGTACTCCTAATTATTGCACCTTTTATGGCTTGACTGGCTTCAGATAATAAGTAAATGCACCAGTGACATGATAAAGCCACTATCAGCCAATGAAGGAGAGTCATCAAGAGAGGAACAAATGACTAAGAGAATTTGCAAGCAGGAAAAAGAACTTGAAAAAAGAAAGCAAATACTGTAGGAGAGACATGGCTCTGAATCATTGCTGTGTATATGGTCACAATGAGGTCATCTGTAATGAAAGTTACTGACCTCATCCCCAACTCTTCCTCACAGCCTACTAATGTCTTTTCTCTTTATAGCCCAGGGCTGAAAACAAAAAAGTGAACAAAAGGTCCAAAGAGAAGTGACAAATATTATCCCAAGTACAACAGTGGATAAAAAATAAAATAGACAATGCCAGTAGTTGATGGAAGACAAATATCAGTATACAAGTGAAACCCAAAGAGATGAACAATGCTCAATACAGCAGACAGTATCCAGATAGCAATGGTGAGGGTCAATGTTACCCAGGGTTTCATGAACTGCTTGTGAAGATGTGGTTTGACAATAAAGAGAAACCACATATAGCGCTTTAAATTTGCAGAGCTTAAATGTCCTGGATTGATAAAAAATCAATTTTTTACAGATTCACAATGTTAGTACCACGTGGGGCTTTAATGGCAACTGAATATTTAGCAGATCTTTAATTTTGCAGTTGCATGCTAACTACAAAAACAACAAAAACTTTGCTCCTTGAAAATAAAGCGATATATCATATGTAACATCTAGTGTTACAATAGCATCCATAAAAAAATTTAAAAAAAAGAATAGTAACATGACCCTCTCGTCTCCATCTCACTAGCAGGTGATGCAACAATTTTGAAAGAAAGGTACAGTACAATCAATACAAGATGTGCCAGTATGAGAGAAGTGAAGAATATTGTTGATGGTTGTTTCAAAAACTTTCTTTGATAGAGTGTGATGGATAGTACAACACCATTAGCTATCAGTCTCAACAATGAGAACTGCTGCCAATATAAAACCAGCAACACTGTCATTAGTAGTGGTGTAGCTGCTTTCCATTACCAATGTTAAAATAAGCTCTGCTTGCTAAATGCCAGTAAAGCTTTAACTAGAAGACTTGATAAAATGTATTATACACAATATACATAGTTTAAAAAGTACCACAAAAATGACTCAAATTAGCTATTATCATACGACACATTGTGATAATGACAGCAACACTTATATGCAATCAAATAATATTTAAATACATATAAATACAATATAATACCATTTAATGGTTTTTCAAAGCAACTATACTTCAGGAAATCTAATAAAGTTCCAATTCGCAATTTTAATTTCGCGAATTCTACCACGTGCCAGGTGGGTACCATATTAAACTGATCTTCGCAAATTTCATTTTCCTACATCAAGAAGGAATCTGCGAAACCCTAAAAACCACTTATATGGTAACAACAATTAACTCCACAATAACATACATAAATCAGTGTGCGGTCAAATACCATATATTGAATGTGCAATATTTTAATTACGATATTGTCCATTCAAACATTCGCAGATAAAATTTTCTGCAAAAATAGCATTAATTCGGACACAATAAAACAACTAAAAATTCGTGAAATTCGCACAAGAACAAGCATTATATGATTAGACAATTATTAAATATATTATACACATTATACGATCACTTCATTATTCATTATTCTTAGTTTTCTCTCCTTTCTCTCCCCTCCTCTCTCTTACCATGCTAAAGCTGGTGTTGCTATGCCTCCTGAATATATCCACTCACAGCAACCAGGGGAGTAGACTAACTTGAACATGTTGATCATATCTGAGAGAAAAAAGAGAAAATAAAGGAACAGACAAGAAGATAGGGACAAAAGAAAGAAAAGTCAAGATTAAGAAATATAATAAAGATACTGATACTAGTACATGTACATAAATATTTACCAAAATTGATGACATCAAAAACTTTGATAGCTTTATCCTCACCAGCTGAGCTTAATAAGAATCCATCGTAACTGACTGCTACTGATTCTATTTTACCTGAAAAGGATAAGAGGAGAGGAGAGAGGGAGGGAGGACAGTAAATAGGAAAGATAAGTTAGAGAATGAAAAGGAGAGTAGAACAAAAAGAATAATGATACAATGTATGTATCATCTTTATATCTTTATACACATGTACATGCTCATGGGTGAATGCCCAAGTACATACATGTAGACATACATGCATATGTACATGTACATATACCTAAGTGTGCCCGGAAATGTTTCACAAACTCAACTCCTTCTTCCTTCTTCTTCCAAAACTTGACATGACCATCAATGCTCGCAGTCACAATGAACTCAGATCTACAAACAATTAACCAAATAAGCCACACCTCTCATGCAACCCCAACCACACACAAATAACTTCTTACTTTGTACACGTGACATGTGTTATGATGTCACGATGCATGTAGCTTTTCTCATACATAGAAGCAGAGGGGAGGTTCTCAAGATACACCCACTCATAAGGAAGACCTAATATTAATAAAATAAGCAAATTATATGTACATGTACTTTCACACATGGCTAAACAAATAAAAAATCCAACATAAGGACATGTACAGTATACATATACAATGTACCCATTTGAAAATCTAATATAAATGGAGAATTTTGCCTAGTCATTTTTGACAAAAATTGGCCAATATGATTTTAGCAAAATTCTGGAGTAACTTCCAAATATGTTTAAAAAATCTAATTTTGTTCAGAATTGACTAAAGCACTCTACACAAGAACATGTATATATCACAAAAAATTATAAAAATGGATAAATCTCTCCTAATCATTTTTGGCGAAATTTGGTCAAGGACCCAAATTTAAAGCAAATTAATTTTTTTAATCCAATACTTATCAAAAATCAGCACAAACTTTCTACACATTTTAAAAACATGTATGTGTATCAAAAAATTTAAAAATGGAGAATTCTCTCCTAGTCATTTTTTTGGCCAAATTTTGCCAATTACCCTGTACTATTATAGTATTTTTGTCAAAATTTGGAGCAACTCTAAAAATTCAAATTTCGATATTTTAATCAGAATCGGCTCAATTAAAAATTATATCAATGGGTTGGCTCTGTTTTAAAATAGGAAGAACTTTGCAGTCCTTACTTATTGTTTTCTTGTCGCCGTCACCAAGTGTTGCTTGAGTGGGTAGAGGGCCCACCACTTCTTCCTCCTCTTCTCTCGCTCCTTCCTCTCCGTTACTCGCGTCAGATGTACTGATTTTTCTTATCCTCTTACTAGGAGGCTCGGGGTCCTCTCTGGTATCTTCTACTGCCTTTCTTCTCTCATCCGCGCTATCCGCCATTTTATTTTTAATAATTAATTTCAATATTATTAATAACTAGATTAAGCCACTCCCATTTGATAGCCTGCAGAGCCAGCCACACCTCTAAAATGGCTCTGTCATCAGAAGAACTCTCTGGACTAGAGTTTCTACTAAAAGTGAGGTCGCAGTACTATCATTAATAGACTCTAGGCGATTTTTAATACTTAGAGTAGCCTCTAATGCTGCATATTACTTTACTTTTAGCGTTGATATAGATCTCTGTGTCTATGTCCTTTCTGTCCTTTTTATGGTAATCATTTGTTATTGTATAGGCTCAATCAAAAAGTGTTGTGGTTGGGATATTGAAAGAAGGATTCGTGTACAGGAATGACAAAGGTTAGCTGTACAACCCCTTGCTCCTTATTAATATGATATGTGCCACACCCACTTTCTATTCTTTCTTTTTTTTCACTCTCTCTTTCCTTTACACATCATTATTTCATACAGTACCTGATCAAGTGTTAGCGTCTGTTGCTCAATCGTTGAATATTCAACCGTCAGAAGTTATTACAGTAAGCTTTATTGTAATAGCTTATGCAGTATCTTCATGCACGTATAACTGAACTGTGTACATGGCATGCACATAACTGCATATATGTACATGTACATGTTGTAGCCCGATGAATTAGATGATGGCATGTTTATGTTAAAAGGGATTCTTTGGTATTTTTCAGTATTTGATTTATAATGTTTTTATTTTTTTATTTTAGTTATTTCAGTCAGTCACATTACTGGTTAAGAAGGCACTGTATGAGTGTGTACAAGATCAATCTGATGCCTCTAAGATATTTCCTGGTGAGAATCATAAAAGAAATAATAATTATACTTTATGATCAAAGCATGTTTGTATTTGTGTCTTTATTCCTTTAGATGATTTTCATAATGATTTAAGAAAGCTTCTATCTGATATCATTGTCAAAAACATGTGAGGCATAATAAGAAATAGATAAATAAATCCTATTCCTATTTCATTCACCTGCCACTTTTTCTCATTCTTTTCTCGTGTCAATCTCTTTAGGTCTGAATGGAGAACAGAAGCATCAAAAAGTCAAGGTTAATACATACCAGTAATTAATTTTTATTGCCACTATTACTATCACCATCATCATCATTATAATAATAATTATTATTATTATTAGTATCATTGCCTCGTCTTGTTGATTTTGATTGGAGGGTTAACATCAAATCAGCATCTGACTCTGTCTCACGTATGGCAGCACCCACCTGTCTCCTACAAATGAAGGTAAAGACACATAATTACATGTACATGTATAGCAGGAAATACCATATAGAAGGAAATTTTGGAGGTAGTTAAATTTGGCAAATTTGGCATTTTAATAGCCATTCGCCAAAATAAAAAAAACTGCCATTTTGAGCCATTATGCACATGCTCAATGGCACATGGCCACAAATTCGCCAAATTAAAGTTCGCTAATCACTAAAATTTAGCAATTCGCCAAATTTAGCTCCCTCCGAAATTTTCTTCTACACGGTATTTGTTGGAATTAATTTTTGCTGTTTCATGAAATTGCACCTTCAAAAGAAGCAAAATCCTAAAATTACATGTACATGTACATGTATGTAGACTATGTACATGTACATTATGGCACTCATTCCTATAGACTTTTTCCACTTTGTAATGACAGATATTAATTCTGTTATTTCATAATAAAAGCAACTTCAGAAAGGCAAAACAATCAATAGATAGTGCATAATGGGATGTTATAAAAATGCACAATTCAATTCCACAAAGCATTTATAGTTACCGTAATTCCTCTAAGAATTTGTCACATCAAAATTTATATTTGCAATTTTTATTATTGAACTTTTGGAGAGAGAGCAATTTAAAATGCATTAGTTTGTTGAATTTGGAGGGATTCATTAATACACAAAACCAGCTGTATGCTAATCTGTCCATTCAAAGTATGCTGCTCTTGTATTGAACTTAGAGGCAAGTGACCATGTGGAACAATAATTTAAAAAAAAAACTTTTAGAATGAATTTTATTAGAAAATTTGAAGTAATTATTTATTTTCGAAATTAGAGTTTAAATATTTAGAGGAATTACAGTAATGGATGTATCAACAGCTCACAGCTACCAGCATTAATTGCTGCATAAAATTAATTTTACTCTATTGGAATAAAATTGCAAAATATAAGTCCCACATCTTCTACAGCTACACGATATTATTATTATATTGAGATCCATCTATATGTAGGTCCAACCTTCTCCAGTCAATAGTTCAGAATTACCTAATTTAGAATCTATTAATGTTGAATTCAATAAAGAGAAGCTGGACACGATGTTGGATGGTCTTGGGAAAATTAGAGATCAGCTCTCCTCCGTTGCCAAGGCAACTACTTAACCATACCCATAAGTACAATGACATGTTCACTGTACATGAACGTTAATATTGCTGTTTATATTATGTGTGTATGTACATTTGTGTGTGTAAAGGTTACGTTATTGGGTTTTATAATAATTATTATTTTCATGATAGATTAATGACACCTCATCTGAGCAGTTAAAGTGATAATTTGTGTTAACGTGTCACTCAAATTGTGAAACTTGCCGGGAATTTTGTTTATGAAAATATACACCTGGCATCGAGAAATAATATATTTATAGTTTTTGTTAAAACAATAAAATTACTTTGTACATTGGGTGAACATTATGCATGAATAACTCAGTAAAGTTCTTTATTGATGTAATTAATATATATTATGTGTATCTATTTAGCCTATCAAAGTAGTTCAAATGTAGATATCTTCTTACTCTTGTTTATTCTAAGTACGACGCATACAGCATTGCAACAGCATAGAGGATATGGCTGGTGAATTGTGCCGATGCAAAGGTGTCATGATCTGTGTTCCACACACACCTACTGCCAATCATCAGTCCCTGCTCCTGTTTCTGACCCACATGCACAAGTGCGATAAGCTTGTATCGTGGGATTTTTAAATCCTTCCCTATGTTCTTAATTTTACCACTCAGGTCTGTTGCAAGTTGAGCACACTGGTCTGGATCATAAGTAGTAATACTTCCTAGAGTTGACTCGAGTAGATCAGTCATGAGTGCCCTTGCTTTGTAGTAAGGGAAGGTTTTCTGTGGTTCTAGACGGTATGAATTTTCAAGTCTGGCGTGGTGTCGGTGTCTGTTAGAGCCAGATGGCTCTGAATCTTCTCTGATGTTATCTAGAAGATCTTTCTCACCAAGTGCAAAATCTGAAAATTCTTTAGTTGATGAACGTTTTAGTAGTGATTGTGTTCCTTTACGACTAAGCTTTGTTCCAAGCGTAGACTGCATCTCTCTGAATCTATGCTGAAAGCATAGATGCTGAAAGTATAGATGCTGAAAGTGACCGCACCCGCCTGGCCAGTGAAAATTCGAAATCATTTTTGGGCCCACGTCATAGATCTAAACAACTCAGTAAACGTAAAAAAAAATCCTAAAATGTTACCAGGGATATAATAGACTATTAGTCATATTATATCCCTGATTTTACCCTAAAACTAAAATAGATATAATACTTTTAGGTTTTGCTCTATAAAATTATATCATGTCAGAAATTGCTAAAAAATTAAATTGGCAACGTATGCATGCTCATGTAACATCATTCATGAACTTTCATAATACATCACATAATCTGTCTAATATTTTATTACAATCTAAAATAAAATCTAAAAAATAAAATTATTACAATAGCATTTGCCTCACCTAACTTTGAACAAACACGTTTATTTATCCTAGCTGTTATATCACTCTTCCTAATATTTATCGCTCCATTCTACTTTAATGGTAGAAAATTAAAAAAACAAATTACATTAAAACAAAAATGTTATGCTCCTATCAGAAATTACGAAGTACGTGGGTTAAATCCTATTTAGTAACGCTACAGCATTATTAATAGTAGCTACATAATGAGTCTAATATTATGAGTATCTTCAGTCATGCCTTCTGTTCCATTTCGATCATCTGATTTTCTGTGTGGTGCACTCATTACTAACTCTGAATGCAATTGAACTGGATTTTCTTCAGAATCAGTTATCGATCGTATTAGACTGATATTACTTGATATGTCACTCTTTGAGGACAATACAGGTTGAGGTTGAGTAGCAGAAATTGGTTTGTTAGTAGAAACTATCAAGTCTACAATAGCAGTTGTGAAAACACTGTCTTCCTTGTTAAGCAGTATGTCTAGTACAGTTGTACCATCTTCATTAGCTTTGTTAACGTCAGCTCCAGCTTGTATCAGTGTCTCAACAATTTCAATGTGTCCACACGAAGCTGCTATCATCAATGGAGTTATACCACCTGCTAATGGAGTATCTGGACTCATGCCAACTTTAAATAACATACTAACTAATAATCCTAAATCTCCTCCAACAGCAGCTAATAATAGCTCTCTCTCACTACTTGAACTCGTTATTTTGTCTGATAGCAAGATCATCACTGAAGAGCCACCACTATAGCAAGCAGCAACAAAAGCATGTATGTAATGCTCCTGAGAGACTTCAAATTTTTTCATGATTATCTCCACAGCATCAGGGTTACAATAACTAGCTGCCAAAACCATTAAATGAATAGTCAAATTTTTGACTTGGTGCATGTGATTAGGATGACTATCAAGTAATCGTTCCATAATATTCAAATAATTTGTTGTTTCACTGGTTTTTTGTAAAGCAAATGCAAGTGCAGTCCTTCCATCTTTGTATTGAATATTAAAATCAATATCTTCATTTAGCAAAAGTTCAACAACACTGAAATGGCCATTGTTACAAGCAAGCATCAAAGCAGTCCATCCATCTCTACCTTGCTTGTTAATATTCGGATGCTTACTTAACAAAAGGCTAACCACTTGATAGTGCCCATTGGCACAAGCAATCATCAACGCAGTCCACCCCCTTACATTGTCTTGAATGCTAATGTCTGAATTTGTATCTAGTAGAAGTTCAACGACTTGATGATGTCCACCATGACAAGCAAGCATCAAAGGAGTCCATCCATTCTTGCTCTGACTGTTAACATTTGGACCCTTCATTAGTATGAGTTTAACAACTTTATAATATCCGATACTGCTTGCAAGCATAAGAGGATTATATCCATTATTGCTTTTAACATCAATATGTCTAACCTGACTGAGTAAGACTTCAATGACCTGGTAATGTTTAAAATAACAAGCAAGACTAAAAGCATTCCATCCTTCTTTATCTTCATTACTGGTATCAGCATTTCTTCTAAGTAAAAGCTCCGCGATTATATCATAACCTTTAGAACAACTTAACATCAATGCTGTCCATCCATCATTAGCACAAATATTAATTTTTGGATTTTTATTCAGTAAAACTTCAACAACTTGGGTGTGCCCATTACCACAAGCAACCATCAGTGCTGTTTCTCCTGTGTCATTTTGAATATCAATATCTGGATTTTTATTGAGTAAAAGTTCAATAACATCACGATGTCCATTTTGACAGGCAAACATTAAAGCAGTCCATCCATCAAATGCACTAACATCAATATCAGGATCTTTTGTTAGCAAGACCTCAGCAGTTCGGGTGTTCCCATAATTAGAAGCAATCATTAAAGCAGTGACTCCTTTTTTATTTTGAATGTTGATATCTGGGCTCTTACCTAGCAAGATCTCCACAACTCGATAATGATTACCCCAAGAAGCAATCATTAATGCCGTGAATCCAAAAATGTCTTGATAATTAATATTTATGTCAAACTCCACAAGTAGTGCTACCATATTCTCATATTCTTCATCTCTGTCAATAATACGGATGGCATGTAGAAGCGGCTTTTCAAAACTAAAGTTAACATCTTCAACCTCATCAATGATGGTTTGATGGTTAATGGTAAGTTTAAATATACCAAAATGACTCATAAATTTAGCTTTATCTTGTGCTTTGACAATAAGAGAATGAACGACTTTATAAGAGGAGACCAAAAAATGAATTTCTATTGATCCTTTCAACATCGTTTTAATTGTAAGGTGCTTTGCTTCTTCACGAAAAAAGTATTCTATCAATTTTTGAAGATTTTTTATTGTTCTATCAGCCCATTTTCCAGATAGTTTCAGGATGACTTTAGGATCAGTTTTAAAAACATTTTCAGTCAATGCAGCTTCAATACTAGTCAATACTTCACTCATCTTTGCAGAATCGGTAAAACTTTTAAGATTCTGAGTATAGTCATGATACTTTAATAATACATTCTGATCATTGATAGGATACTCTTCCATAAGATCAGACAACGGGTCAATACACAAAAAGTTATAATGAGGTTGTAGAACATTAAAAAATTCATCAACTGTTGTGCCATCACGAACAAGACCAGTCACTTCGTAACTTTCTTCTATCCAGCGAGCAATATCAATCACATCATATTCTTTACTGTTTGCGTAAAACTTTCTAATATCTCTCACTAGTCCTGGAAACTTTTTAAGAAGATTCTGAAGCTGTAAAGATATTGTATGATCAGAGCTCAACTCAATTTCTGTAGCAGATGAGTGTTTTGTTTTTTGCTGGCGTATCAATAGTGTAAATGATACATGGTGGTCTTTGAACACCTCCTGTTGCCAATCTTCAGCAAGAGCAATTGCTTCATCTCTGGCTGGTCCTTCTGCAATAGCAAGACATGATAAAAATAATTGACATTTTTCTTCAAGAATAGAAACATCTTCTATGTGTACAGAAATCAGTGATAGAAAATCAAGTTCTATTTTTTCAAAGGTAGGCATGTTTCGAACTTCTCTATTAATTAGGCCTTCGCTGTACATTTTGTCAGCTATTTTTTGAAGGCAGTTCTCTGTGGCTTCCTTCAGCTTGCAATAGTGACTTCTCAATACATCTTTTATTGCTTTACATGTGCTTTTACTTTTTCCTATATAAAGAATTAAAGATTACGATTCATTTCACCATCATTCTATTCATATCTTTTCTGTCAATAACGTTTCTGATTTATAATGAGGGATACCATAAATTTTTCAGGCCACCATTCTGGAGGTATACTATCATGGACCAACAGGCTAAAAACTATCAATTCTACTTCTCCATGTCACTCCAGTGGCTCCAAACAGTTGCAAACCTATGAAAAGAATAATAAAGCTTCCAATTTTTCACTTCTGAGGCTAATACTGCTTGCTCTTCTTACAAAACGGCAGAAAGTGTATCAAGCTCCATCGTAAACAGTGCAACAATACCTCCACAATGGCAGTGTCTATTTACGGTATCCCAGTGAATATCATTATAAATTATAAACATCATTCACAGGAAAGATATGACTAAATCTTACCAGAATGTTTATCAAGGATATTTCGAGCTAAATTAACTTCATCAGAACTCAGTAAAGCAATACAGATGTTTCTCCATGTTATATCAGGAATATTATGACAATGTTGAGCTACAGCATCAATGTAATGAGAAGGACTGGCCTCATTCCCTTCCACACTCTGCTTAATACCAACAACAATATCTTGGGTCATGTTAGGAAGATAACAAATAAACTGTTCCCAATTACCAGAAGTAAACTTTGAGCTACTCAACAACTCAACCAATTCCTCTTTTGTTGGCTGGTCTGTGCGTAAAATGAACTATAATGGAAGAGCTTTAATTCAGTTTATCTGTAAGAGTGGGTCCAGGATTAAGTTTCACATTTCCTGATATGAAGAGGAGGAGAGCAATTAGAATGAAAATAGATGAAATCGAGAATACGAGGCATGCTCTTGCATCTCCTTTGGTTTTACAGTAATCTGAATATACGTAGATGTTACCAGTAGCACAGCCACGGGATTTTGACCACTGGCAACCGCTCCATGCGCCTATTCTAGCTCTCCACTGGCACAGATCAATCATAGGTGTTGCTTTCGTGAGAAGTTCTTATTTTGCGGTTTAAGATTGAAAAGGTGGGGCTCCTTGGGTAGGAGGAGCTCCAGCTTTGTTCAATTCAAGATGGAGCCAGTGGAGGAGAAAACTGCTGCTGAATATTTAGATAAGCTTGGAGCAGTGTTTCATTATGATTGTTATACAGAAAAAAAACCAGAAGGTATATATTACTACTTACTACAAACTTCATTGTTAGATTTTGGCAGGTTGTCATCAATATGCAGAGTATCTTATTGTAGCAAAGAAGAATCCTTCAAAAGCATTTGAAGTATTTAGCAACTGCTGTCATCAAATGAAATTCTCTGAGAGCTGCCTTGCACTGGGTAACATGTACTTGACTGGAAATGGTTAGTGTGAATACATCCAGTAACACAAAACAATGAAAACATCAGCATACATGATCGAGTTACATGTACATGCATGTAATATACACCACATGCATGTGTGCATACATTGCTATGCATGTGCATGTAGATAGGGTAGATCTAAAATAAACTGGTTTGGGTTAGTTAATCTGGTTTGCACAATAGTGTGTTAGTGTTAATTTGACAGATTGACTGTTGTGATCTCCTTTATATAAATTAGATCATAGATATACTACCCATAAACGGGATTGGAAACTTCAATGATAATAAGTGCAAGGCGTGTTGGGGCGTATCCCCACCAAATCTGATAAAATCTTAGCAAAAGCATTGGCTCTATGGTGAAACTTTGTGGGACTCTAGCAGCTGTATTTCAGAATGAAGCAAGCAAGTTTTTGCTTATATAGATACTTTTTAAGAGCCTTCAGTGCAACATAACATTTATTTAAGGTAATACTCACTAGTAAGAGCTTTTTAGGCTATTTGAATTTTGCTAGATCGCTCAGGATTCCATTACTCACAAAATACACAACACAGACTAAAATGAACATCACAGTGCACTGAAGGCTCTTAAGAAGAGTCTATAGAAGTAAAACTGGGTTGTTTCATTCTAAAATGCAGTAGCTAGAGTCCATAGGTGGCTGCAGGGTTGGGCATAGTCGGGCAATGCCCAACCAAAAATTTTGACCAGAAATAAGAATTTAATTAATGACATCATTTTAGTCATGAAAAATTACCATGGCTAGCAAGAGACAGTCTTTTCTGCTTTCCTTTGTCAACAAGCCTTCCAGGAGGACCAGGACTAGCACTTTACAGGTTGAATAGAGCTTTACAGATAAGATAGGGCGCCTTCTAGGCATATTTTTATGGCATATCATAATGTATGCGTGCGTTGAGTATACACCCAAAATATGCGTGGAAAAGTGGGCTTGGCCAAAATTGCGGCACGCTTCACGCGCCATTTTTCTTGCCCAACTGCTCTGCCAATCCTGCCACCGCCTATGCTAGAGTCCCACAAACCTTTGCCATTGGTCTACTAAGAATTGAACAACGCGATCCCAACCAGCCTGGTACCCAAACTACCCATGGGTAGTAACGGAAGTTTCCAATCCCGTTTACGGGTAGTTATCTATAATTAGATCTATAGTGGTGCCACGGATACTGTGCCCTTGCATTATTACTGGTATTTAAAAATTGACAGATTTACTAGAAATGCCCAACCCTATGTTTATCTTCAATGCAATATTTGCATTACTTGTAGGACCTCATCCTAAAGAATTTTCGAAAGCTCTACAGTTGTTTGATACAGCATGTGAACTAGGATCAATGGGTGGTTGCAATAACAGTGGACTAGTCCATCAAAATGGGTACGAAGGACAACTACCAGACTACCAAAAAGCATTGCAATGCTTCCACAGATCCTGTGAAGGAGGTTTCAAAAATGGCTGCTTCAATGAGAGTATTATTTATCTGCAGGGAAAAGAAAAGGTCCCCAAAGATATGTCAAAAGCATTAGAGTATTCGCTGAAGAGTTGTGAGCTGGGTCATCCATGGGGCTGTGCTAATGCTAGCCGTATGTTAAAACTGGGAGATGGTGGACTAGAGAGAAATGAGAAAAGGGCAGAAGAGCTATTGAAGAAAGCAAAACAGCTAAGCAACTTGAGTTGAAAGGAAGGCATTTATAAGTGTTAGATCTATGTTTATGTGCATGTATGTATAGTATATTGTTGTTTGTAGAATAATAGTAACAATTTAATTTTAATAAGTAATGTCAGCTGCTTAGCTGAGTATTAAGTTTATAATAAACAAAAATTTTGTTATTGGCCTCGCCTCACTATGTGTAATTGTGTATAGTCTAAAGTGGTCCTGCTGTGAGACTACACTGTATGTGTGGAAAAGTGCTATAGGAGAATGGGTCTGGCTAAGCAAGACTAACTTATCCTAGCTCTACGCTATTCCATTTTGCTTTAAAAATGGTAGAAAATCTAAAAAACAAAGCAACAGTGTTATGTTCCTATCAATTATAATTAGCTACATAATGTGTCTAGTATTCTGTGTATCTTCGGCGATGCCTTCATTTCCATCCTCCGATTTCCTATGCGCTGGACTCTTTAATAAATCTGAATGAAATTGAATTGGATTTTCTTCAGAGTCAATTATTGATCGCATCAAACTGATATTACTTGATATATCGCCTCTTGATGTAGATATGGGTTGAGGTTGAGTAGCAGAAAATGGTTTCACTTTGCCTGTTGTTGAAATTAATAAGTTTAAAATAGAATTTGTGACAAAATCTTCTTCCTTGTTAAGCAATATGTCTAGTACAGTTAAACCCTTATCATTAGTTTTGTTAACATCAGCACCAGCTTGTATCAGTGTCTCGACAATTTCAGTGTGTCCACATGAAGCTGCTATCATCATTGGAGTTATACCACCTACTAATGGAGTATCTGGACTCATGCCCACTTCAAATAACATACTAACTAATAATCCTAAGTCTCCTTCCACAGCAGCTATTAATAGCTCTCTCTCATTAATTATACTTGTTATTTTGTCTGATAGCAAGTTCATCACTGGAGAACAACCACTATAACAAGCAGTCACAAAAGCATGTGTGTAATGCTCCTGGGAGACTTCACAGTTCTTCATGATGATCTCTACAGCATCAGTATTACAATAAATAGCTGCTAGTACTACTGAATGAACAGTGAAATTTTTGATTTGGTGCATATGATTAGGATGACTATTAAGTAAGCGCTCCACACTATTCAAATAATTTGTTGTTTGACTGGATTTTTGTAATGCAAATGCAAGTGCTGTCCTTCCGTCACTGTGTTGAATGTTAATATTGACATCTTCATTTAACAAAAGTTCAACAACACTAAAATGACCATTGTTGCAAGCAAGCATCAAAGCAGTCCATCCATTTTTGTCTTGTGTATTAATATTTGGATGCTTACTTAACAGAAGGCTAACAGCCTGATAGTGCCCATTGGCACAAGCAATCATCAAAGCAGTCCACCCCTTCTCTTTGACTTGAGCATTAATGTCTAGCTCTGCATCCAGTAGGAGTTGAACAACTTGATAATGCCCATTGTGACAAGCAAGCATCAAAGAAGTCCATCCATCTTTGCTTTTAGTGTTCATAAAAATATTATACCCATTGTTATCTTGATCATCAATAGCTCTAACGTTACCTAGCAAAACTTCAACAACCTGGCAATGTCCATAATAACAAGCAAGATTAAAAGAATCCCATCCTTCTTTATCTTTATTACTGGTATCAGCATTCCATCTAAGTAAGAGGTCCACAATTTTATGATAACCTTTACAACAGCTCAACATCAAAGCTGTCCATCCATCATTAGTAGCAATGTTAACATCAGGATTCGCATGAAGCAAAACTTCAACAACTTGGCAATGTCCATTATCACAAGCAATAAACAATGCTGTTTCTCCTTTATCATTTTGGATATCAACATCTGGATTCTCACTGAGTAGAAGTTTAACAACGTCACAATATCCATCTTGACAGGCAAACATTAAAGCAGTCCATCCTTTAAATTCACAAACATTAATATCAGGACCATTTCTCAGCAAAAGCTCAACAATTTGGCTGTTCCCATAATAAGAAGCAATCATCAAAGCAGTGACTCCTTTGTTATTTCGAATGTTGATATCTGGGCTCATACTTAGCAAGATGTCCACAACTTGGTGATGTTTACCACTGGAAGCAAGTGTTAATGCAGTGTTCCCTGAACTATTTCGATAGTTAACATTTATGTCAAACTGCAGAAGAAGTAATGCCATTTTCTTATACTCTTCATCTTGGTCACTAATAACATGTAGAAGTGATTCGTTGAAACTAAAGTTCACATCTTCCACCCCATTAATGATGGTTTGGTTGTTAATGGTAAGTTGAAATATACCAAAGTGACACATGAACTTAACTTTATCTTGTGCTTTGGCAAGTAGAGAATCAATGACTTTATAAGAGGCGGCCAAAAAATGAATCTCTAATGATCCAGTTCGTATTTTTTTAATTCTAAGATACTTTGCTTCATCAGGGAAAAAGTATTCCATCAACTTTTGAAGATTTTTTATGGTTCTATCGGTCCATTTTCCTGAAAGCTTCAAAACAACTTTGGGATCAGTTCTAGAACCCTCTTCAGTCAACGCAGCTTCAATACTAGTCATTACTTCACTAATCTTAGCAGAATCTGTAAAACTTTCTAAACATTCGGTATATTGACGATACTTGAACAACACATTCTGATCATTGATAGGGTACTCTTCCATAAGATCAGATAACGGATCAATACACAAAAAGTTATAATGAGGTTGCAAAACATTAAAAATTTCGTCTACTGTTGTGCCATCATGAACAAGACCAGTCACTTCATAACTTTCTTCTATCCAGCGGGCAACATCTATCATGTCATATTCTTTACTGGTTGCATAAAACTTCCTAATATCTCTCACTAGTCCTGGAAACTTTTTGAGGAGATTCTGAAGTTGTAAAGATATTGTATGATCAGATCTGAACTCAATTTCTGTAGCAGATGAATGCTTCGTTTTTTGGTATATCAACAGTGTAAATGATACGTGATGGTTTTTGAACACCTCCTGTTGCCAATCTTCAGCAAGAGCAAGTGCTTCCTCTCTAGCTGGTCCTTCTGCAATAGCAAGACATGATAAAAATAATTGACATTTTTCTTCAAGAATAGAAACATCTTCTATGTGCACAGAAATCAGCGACAAAAAATCAAGTTCTATTTTTTCAAAGGTAGGCATGTCGCGAACTTCTCTATTAATTAGGCCTTCGCTGTACATTTTGTCAGCTATTTTTTGAAGGCAATTCTCTGTGGCTTCCTTCAACTTGCAATAGTGACTTCTCATTACATCCTTTATCGTTTTACATGTGCTTTTACTTGTTCCTGTATATAAAACAAAATTAGTAAGATTAAATATGGGACAATTCTTACTAGAATGCTTTTCAAAGATTTGTCGAGCTAAAGTAACTTCATTGGAACTCAGTAAAGCAATACAGATACTTCTCCATGTTATATCAGGAATATTTTGACAATGTTGAGCTACAGCATCAATGCTGTTAGGACTGACCTCGTTCTCCTTCGCGTTTTGCTTAATACCAACAATGAAATCTTGTGTCACGTTAGGAAGATAACAAATAAACTGTTCCCAAGTACCAGCAATAAACTTTGAGCTACTCAATAACTCAACCAATTCCTCTTTTGTTGGCTGGTCTGTGCATAAAATAAAATATAATGAAAGAGCTTTAATTCATTTTACCTGTAAGAGTGGGTCCAGGATTAAGTTCCACATCTCCTGATATGAAGAGGAGGAGGGCAATCGAAATGAAAATAGATAAAATGAGTGTAGAACTCGAAGTACATCTACATGATATTCCGCTGAGTTCTTTGGTTGTACCAGTAGGATAGTCACAAGATTTTGACCACTGGTGATAGCCCCAAGAACCTATTCTAGCTCTCCACTGACACAGATCAATCATACTAAAACGAAATTCGAAAGGGCTCGCTGACTTTAGTTTAGTGCAAGTCTAGGTGGGAGGGGCCCTCGCCCCTCAGCCGGCCCACGCCCCACGGCCACTGAGCTCCTGGATGGTGAGAGAGACTATAATACTTCATGGAATACTACAATATACAGATCAAATTCAATACTGTAACAGTATTGAATTTGATCTGTATAATTGTTTAGAATGACCTACGATGTATTTGTAATATTAAATATTTAAAAATATGAAACTTTAGAGGAGAGAAAAACGGAACAGGAGTTCTTTTAAAAGTGTGAACCACAATCACTGCTTCTGATGAATAAATTGAAAATAAAAATAAAGCTCTAACTGTTTTTGATTAACATTTCCTGTTTACAACTTTACATTATATGGTACTACAAATAAATGACTGAAATAATAATCAAATCATGACCTATGTAATTACATTGACTATCTAACTTATCCAAATGTGAATGGTCATAATGCAATTGTCATGGTAGTGTGAGTAAACATGTGTATACCAATGTTTAAAAACATTATAACAGAATTAAAAATTAATACATAGATCAATAAAGCACTTGACACATCAAAAAGAGTAGGATCCATTTTATCTCAATGTCATTCTTTCTCTCTCTCTACATATAAATTAAAAACTAATTAAAGAGGCTGACCATTGACTCATGCTGTCATGTACCTGCACAATGCTGCAGCTTCACTATTGAGAGTAAGAGGTCTCTGAGCCAGTGAGCCATCAGCAATCACACTGCACTTTGTTTATGTAATGGGTATACAATTATAAGTTGAGCATAATGTTGCTTGGTTTGATTGCCCACACCAAATGGAATGATACCCTAAAATAATAACTATATCATGTACGTGTGCATGTATGCTAATTTCTATGTAGTGTTACAGTAGTTCAGCATACCATAGAAGCTCCAAATTTTGCCAGTCAAAATTTTTTTCAAATTTTTCAGGTTTTTTGCTTGATAAATATTAACTGATGAAATTTTCGTTTCATGTGGGTATAGTGTACAGATCAATAACAAAAATGACGAAAATTTTATTGACAAAAATTAATTTTAACAAGAAATTTGAATTTTGACAAAACTTTAGAATAACAAAAATTCGGACTATATATATGGTATGTAGATAATGCTTGTAATAATGGAATAGTCAGTAGTAACTACTTTTTGATAATTATTAAACTTCAAGAAATCTACACTATCAAAAAATAGCAATGTCTGATGATCTATGTACTCTATTTTATAAAAATAACAGAAAATTCGCAATGTCATGTATGGGGTAATGCATTGTTGCTATTTACATTACATAAAGAAACTGTGAAGTTATTTTATCTATATTCAGTGTTATGATTGCCATGATGTTGTAACTAATATAGTGAAACTACTTTTTGTGGCAACTGTTTATGAAAGTAAACCTTTCTTTATTTAGTAAAAATTTAATATGTTGAGTTCACTGCCAAGTTCATCATGATTATTCTCCTGCTATGTAT